TAGAGGTTTAGGGTTTCGATACTACCGGCTCGCGAGGGGAGACGAAGGAATTCAGTTGCAGAGAGGGGCGCAGGGTCGTGGAGAGCAAGCTTGTGTTCTAAATGCACATTGCTCTGGTGCCGATAAAGGTTCTCAAACTGTCAAGTGATACGTGTTAAAGTTTTTAATAGAAAAGTGTTATCGTGTTTTTTAGATTAAAATAAAATAATTAGTCTACATACTTCTAACATTTTTAAAATAATGTTAAATTGGATTAAAATTTGAGGTTAATAATGTGGTACATTTTATAATATTTAAAATATATTACAAGAAATATTTTTTTATTATTTAATAATTAATTTTTTTATTTTAAAAAATTGATATAAATTTAACTCTTATTGTTAATTTTTTATTAGATTTTAAGAATAATAATAATTTAGTAGAATTTAATGATAATTATTAAATTTAAATTAATTTCTTGAAAATAAAAATGTAAGGTAACAAATTATATCAACTTTTTTTTAAGTATAATTTATTTCAATACCATAATTTTAAGATGTAATTTACACATTTGAACGTGAAATTCATAAATTTCTTTCTTTTTTTCGCATGTTTTCTTCCGGAGCCACCACCGAATAATTTAAATAATGTACATTAGAAAAAAAAAAAAAATTGATTCTCCTGAGTCAAACTACGTCGTTTTCATCTCCCGTCACCATTTGGAAGAAGATTCGCGAGCCGTAATGGAAACTGCAGCACCAATTCACCATTACTACTTTGGCCGGAATTGAAAGAAAGAGGTGGACGGATTATGATGAATACGGGAGAAGAAAGAGAAGATCCACAGAAGCTGAAGAGGATAGCGGCTGCCGCATACGACTACGAGAACGACCCACGATGGGCGGACTACTGGTCCAACGTCTTGATTCCACCCCACATGGCCTCTCGCTCCGACGTCGTTGATCACTACAAGCGCAAGTTCTACCAGCGATACATCGTACGTTCCTTAATTGCACTCACCCCACTTTGTAATTTCTATCCATTTGTGTCCGAGTTTGCAACTTGGGTATTTCAATTCCATCTGGGGTTTGCTTCTTTCTTTAGAAATTGGGTATACTTGATTTCTCCTCCATGGATATCGATGGTGATCAGTTCGCATGCACATTAATTTTTCTAGTTTTTTCGTATCTATCATGCCTTGACTCGTGTAATGGTAGAGAATTGGGATTTCGGCATCTGTGTTCTTTCCATATATATTTCCCTTGCATATTGATGCAAAGTTTTATTATTGATGGGTGAGCTCAAAATTGGGATTTGTGAACTATGCCTATATCTCTGCTTCATTCCTTATTGCTTTTATATTTTGGGACTAGAGACCTTGGGTTTTGATTTTTCTTTCAGTTTGCTTCTTGTTCATTTAATATCATGTGCTTTTTTGGTTGTTTTGTTGAGTTATTTTCTTTGTTTAGCATATTTACCTTTCTGATTGAGGTCAAATGAATACGGTTTCTTGAATTGGAATGAAAACAGCCGACATATATCTGGGTTTTGAGACAGCCCTTGGAGCTTTATAATTTTTAATAACAGTTTTCCGGACAATTTCTTTTTGTGGTTTGCTATGATAAACATTCTGGTAATTAGGGGATATGTTTCACAAGCAGGATCCAGGTCTTGTGGTAGAGGCAATGTCTTTCAGCAGTTCATCTCAACCAACTAGACAATCTGCTTCATCTTCAGCCTCAGCAGCCGCCAATGATCAACCCCGACCACATAGCTCAGGTAGAAAGTCCTCACTTCTACTGATGTTGGAAAAGAAAGAATAACCTGCATTTATTACCATGAGCTGTGAGAACTCCAGTTCATTTTCTTCTGTGGGGAGAGACTTGTTGCTATTTGTTGCAATTAACCCAGAGCTATGTTGTAGGGTCATCTACAAGAAATTCCTCAACTACAAGCTCAAATCAAACTTCTCTTCATTGGGATCGACAAATGATACAATTTTCTGTCAATGCTTGGGTATTTTCCCGCTCCAAAACTCCATGTAAATGCATGCACTTGTTTTAAAGAGTTCCATTGACTCTGTTTTTTAAAAATCAACTTTGCCTTTGCTTAAGTCAGGCAATCCTAGTCTTCTAATGATTTTACAAAGGTTATTTGTTTGGATAAATAGTTTTTCATTGTATCATGTTACGTGGATCCTTGAGCCTTCTCTTTCTTTCTCCATTTTATTTTCTTAAATTTCAAGTAAAGGGAAGAAATTTTGGGGAACTGCATTGCTTGAAGTTAGGTTTAACCTGAAAGTTCTGCTTACTATCCATTAGGATGATGAAGTTGTGCCTCTCTTTGGTGTGACCTCAGATTAATCCATTTGACATTTGGTTATCTTTCAACTGATTAATCAGTTCTTTTACTTTCAAAATGTTTCACAAAATGTTTTTTAAATTCTTTGTTTCCATTATTATCACCTGCAGGTTTTCATTGTGGCTGTGCTTGCTATCTTTCCACTTATACCTAAAAGCCTCTCACATAGGGCTTATAGGCTGGCCTTCTTGGGCACTGCATGTTCCTCTCTATACTCTTTGTACTCGCTATATGGGGTAATCTTATGACACTTTCTTATCTACCACTTAATTTGTCATTCTTTAGTTCTTACATTGAGCAGTTCTACATTTTCTGCAGACACCCAGCGCATGGAACTTGCCGGCAATTCAATTGTATTTTCAGTCCATAATTGCAACCAAGGATTTTATCTACTCCATCTATTGCCTTACATTTGTGACTTCACATCTTTGCCTTAAATGTGAGCAGTTGTACCTTTAAATTATTCTGCCAATTTTGCCCCCCAATTCATTAGATCTATTTCATTTATATTCTTTCTTTCTTGTAAATTATGAAAAATTGATGTGGACTTTCACTGCAGTTGCTTTGATTCCCATTTTATGCCTAGCACTTGAACATGTTGCAAAGTTCTTAAGGCACAATTTTAATCGTTCCATCTTGTACAGGTAAAAAGAGTTATGATCCAAATATCATTCCACTTGTGTGCTTGCTTTTTCCTATTCTAAGCATATCCATACATGTTATGCGTGCACGGAGATTAACATGTAATTATATCTTACATATCTTGATGTCTGTCTCGTTAAGTTCTTTATCAATAATTTCTCCTTTGTGTGAATAGGAAGTACTTGGAAGGCCCTTGTGTGTGGGTGGAGTCAAATGCAACTACCCTAAGCATTCTCTCTTCACATTCTGAGATTGGACTTGGCTTTCTTCTAATTATCTCCTTGTTCTCGTAAGTTTCTCAAATTTTTTGGTTCTTTTTTACCTTAAAGCTCTCTAAGCATATGAATCTCAGCTTATTTAGCTTTTCTAATTCTTGTAATTCTCTTTATATTATTCAATGCAGGTGGCAACGTAACATCATTCAAACATTCATGTACTGGCAGGTAAAAAAATGCTTTGGTCTCATTTAACTTTATTCTAATCATTATCAAAGTAGCATTCTTCTTATATTTTATATTGTTTTATTTTTCACGTTTGATGGGGGATGGGGGATGGGAGTGGAGTGCTCTTTTATTCTATAAAATTGATAGAATGGATGCCTTTATGGTCAGATGTACGTGTTCTTTTTAGACAATAGTGAGTGCCTTGATTTCTTTTTTCATTAATCCATATAAATTTTCATTGCACATTATTAATTCATCTTCAGTGTCAGTTCCTATGTTTTGAAATGGAAAAATCTTGCCCTTTCTATCGTTTAATTGTTGCTTCAGAAATGTAAAGCCATCTATTGTCCCTTTTGTCATTTATTTGCACAATGTGTCATTGTATCTGGATAATTTTTGTATGGAGTACTGAGCTGTTAGCTGTTGTGGCAAATAAAGAAGACCTTATCATCTTCTTAAATTAATTTTGTCTGTTTCTTGACAGATAAATCTAGTGTAATCTTGTTTTCTGTCCTGCAGCTCCTGAAGCTTATGTATCATGCCCCAGTTACTGCTACTTACCATCAAAGTGTGTGGGCCAAGATTGGGAGGATGGTCACTCCATTTGTCGAGCGAAATGCCCCATTCTTGAAGTCTCCAATTTCTGCCATCCAGCGATGGTGGCTCAGATAGAAGTCCAAAGAGGCAGATATACACAAACAACAATAATTCCACATGGGGTTTGAGTAGTTTTAACTATGAATTTCTTTTTGGAAGAAAACTTAATTTCAGATGAAGGACGAACTTGGTCATATTTGACAGTTGATGGATAGATCATGGAACCAGTCTCCTTCTCCCCCTTTTTTCATCCCCATCCATGCTGGGTATATTTGCCAAAATGAGATTGTGTTTATTTTATCTTGTGCCGTAATTACTGGTGTTCCAGAACTACTAGCGATCATGTAACGTGTCATTGTTATTTCTTTGGTTAAACCCCTAACTTCATCCATCAACTATTTTACAACTCTCGAGTTAATCTTTGAGCTTTAAAAATTTTTATTTTAGTCCCTAAAGTTTAAGATTTTGGCTCTATTTTGGTACTTCGTTAAATTTTTTAGGAGTTATGTTAATTTTTTTGATTTAGTGGCATAACTGTTGTTAAGTATTAACTATTTCTGAATAACGCATGGAAATGAGGTGGACAAAAAAATTGTGGGGTAATTTCAAATAACATGGGAATAAAATTAAAAAACATGATAGTGTAGATAATTTAATAAAAAATACTTAAATAAATATTAAAATGTGTCAGTTCATCTTCATCTTCTTGATCAATCTTCCTCACTCCTCATCACTGCTGGCAATTCAACCTAGGATTTGGGTGAGTTTTCTCCCTTCTTTTCTCAACATCTAAATATATTACATAACACAAAATCTAAAATCTATTAAAAACAAAAACAGAAATCTAAACATGATTTATTCATTTGGGTTCTTCAAAATCATGAAATGCATGTATTTTATTCAAATTCAATTATACTTTATCTATATAAAAACAAACAATGATATTGAATTTGAGAGGTTGAAATTCAAATACACTCTACTAAAATTAAGTTCCCAAATAGATCGTTAAGGTTCACTCAAAAAACCCAAGGGTTAAAATATGTATTTAGCTCTTCACTTTAATACATTTAAAATTTTTAATCTTTCATCTTATACTATAAAGTTTTTAATTATTAAAACTTAAAGATTTAATTTAAAAATTTTAGCTCTTAAACTAACGAAATCTATTAATTCTCTTAGCAAATAAAATATTGGTTAAAACCCCATTTCTATTCCTGAACTATTGTATGGACCTCTGATTTGGTCTCTATTGTTTACTATTTTAACCCCGATTTAGTCGTTCCGTTAAATATCTGCCTTTGTATCCCATTACTTGACGGGAAAAGATGACATGTAAAAGCATTTTGACACCTACGATGTATAGCGTGGCAAAAAAATAAGATGGCAAGAAAATATCTTAAAAAATTTCTTTTTCCTTTTTTTTCTTCTTTCTTTGTTTTTCTTTTTTTCCCTTTCTTCTTCCTTTCCCTTTCCTTTCACCTTTTGCAAACCCTAACATCTCCTAATATTAAATCTGAGGATAACACAACAAATCAACAGATCAAAATCAATAGGTCCTTCGATCCAACTGCAACTAGATTGGAAATAGAACCCAGCGCTTGTTGGGTTTGATCACCTGCTGGGTTCGAAATCGAACCCAACACCTGCAAGAATTTGAGGATAACACAACAGATAACAAATCCATAAATAGATCGAACTCAATAGATCCATCAACCCAACGGCTGCTGAGTTTGAAACAAAAACCCAACAAACAACAGATCAATAAACAAATTAAACTCAACAGATCCATCGATCCAATGGTTGCTGGGTTCGAAACAAAACCAGTCCGTGCTGGGTTCGATTTCGAACCCAGCACCTGCAAGAACCCAACTTGAACCCAATGCCTGCTAGGTTCAATTTCAAACCTAGCAGCTGCAGGAACCTAGCAGCTGTTGGGTTCGATGGTAGGTTCGATCGCTTGCTGGGTTTGAATTTGAACCTAGCACCTACAGGAACCTAACGGCTACCTTGCCTTCTTCATCTTCATCCACGAAATCGAACCCAGCACCTGCAGGAACCCAACGGCTGCTGGTTCAATGCTAGGTTCGATGTTAGGTTCGATCGCTTGCTGGGTTCGATTTCAAACCCAGCAGCTACAGGAACCTAGCGGCTGCCTTGCATTCTTCATCTTCATCCACCTGCAAGAACCTAGTGGCT